GGCCGGACGGGCCGCCCGTCCGCCTGACCATCGAGGTCGCGTCGGCGGGCTGCCAGCTGCAGGCGGCGCCCGGCTGGGGCGTGTACGGCCGCGACGGCGTCGGCATGCGGCTGCCCCAATCCGTTTTCTGGGCGACGCACCGCGCCAAGAAGGGCGGCCTGCCTTTCCCAGTGCTCGTCCAGGGGGAGGTGTTTGTGGGCGGCAGCCTGCTGGTGCTGCCGCTGACGCGCGCGGAGGCGCGGTGGTCCAAGGCCGAGGGCTGCGTGCTGGTGGTGGGGCCCGAGGCGGTGGTGGCGAGCTATGGGCCGGTGCGGGAGGTCACCTGGTCGTATGTGGGCTGGTCAGAGACGGTGAGCAGCGACAAAATACGTGCGCGCGCACGCGCACACACACGCGCGCGCGCGCGCAAGCGCGCTGCTGCTGCTGCTGCTGCTGCATTGCTTGGGGACAGTAGCAGGGTGGCTGTCGCCCCTCCCCTGCGTTGCACCCCTTTCGCACGCCGCGCGACCCCGCGCCCGCTGCCTGCCATGCCCTCCACCTTCAAGACAACCTTCCAGTGCCCTGCGGGCGTCTCACCCTCTCCGCTGCCTGCGTCACGACCGCTGTTGTCCGCCCCCTCTCCCCACAGGGCCAGGCCGACGTGCTGCATGCTGACATCCAGACGTGGCCCATGTCCTGGGACGCGCGCATCCGCAAGGGCAGGGAGGAGCGCGGGAAGACCAACAAGCGGCCCAACATAGTGCTGCCAGGTGGGGCAAGGGGTGCGGGCAAGCAGGGGGGCGCGGGAGGCGGCGCCACGGCCTGGCGGGAGCCGGCGGCGGTGTTGAGACCGGGCAATACTGGTTGAGACGCAGCGCGGGCGCTGAGCACCCGCAAGACACGCACACACACCATACACACACTCCACACTCACCGGCCCCGCCACCGCCCCTGGCGCGCAGTCCCCCTGGTGCGGCGGCTCAACTGGTACCCGCCCAGCCCCATCCCCGCCGGCGTGAACATCCACCTCATGCTGGACGGCCGCACGGTGGACACGTCGCACTGGGTGCGCCTGTTCAGGTGCGGCGGCCCACAACCACACACACCCTCCCCGTGGCTGCTGTGGTGCACCCAGCGCTGCCGCCTCTCAGCTGACATCCAACAGGATGCCAAGTCAATCTATCCCAACTGGTTCGCGAGGCTCGCTGCATGCGCCTGCCAATACCCTTTCATCTGAGCGCGCATGTTACACACAGCATGGCCGTGCCGCGCCCGACGCCATGCCGCACCCTCACCTGCCCCTTCCGCGCCCCCTGCGCGCTGCCCTCCCCTCCCCCAGGACCGAGCAGCCCCGCGCCAACTCTGACGTGCCCTACACCCACACCCTGGTCGCGGCCTCCGACGTGTGGAGCGGCCTGCCCCCCAACGCCTACCCGGGCGGCTTCCGCTGGCTGCTCACGCCCAACGGCGGCCCCCCCAGCGGCAAGAACCTGGCGCTGGACTTCCTCTCGTGGGACGACCTGCAGCACAGGGACGAGGGCCAGGTGAGGACGCACGCGGGGGCGCACGGGCCCCGCGAGGCCAGCCGGCCGCCATGCAGCTCACCCTGCTGGCTCACCCCTTCTCCACTTACACACACATGCACACACGCGCGCGCGCA